TGTGGAGCGTGCCTGCTTTGACTGTTTGCTGTTGTGTGAGGCCCTGAGGCTCCCTAGAGGTCCCTCGGAAACTAACGTCCCAAGGCAGACCACAGAACTTTGAGAGAGGCTTCTGCGCACATGGTCTTGGAGGACCTCGCGGGCAACGACCAGTCCCTTCTTCGGCACATTGTGGTTTTGGCGCAAACCTGGAGCACACCGATCTGGGTGTGCGACGTGAAGGACGCCTACCTCAACGTGGAGCAGCCCAAGGACGCCCCGGTGGTGGTGGACGCCCCGCTCCTATGCCCGACGCTATGGTCCGAAGAGGTGGAAGCTTGGCAGGATACTGCCAGGGCAGCGCCGGGGAATGTGGATTTGGAGGCGCAGGGCCTAGAGGCAATGATCGAGGTGCCCACCTTGTACCGAGCGACCTCCCCCAAGGAGAGGAAGGCGGCCCAGGTGCACGTGGACGACGCCATGCTGACCGGCGACGAGGAGTCTGTGAACCCCCTGCTTGCGAACCTCCGCGACAAGTATACCATCAAGGTGAATGGTCCTTTCTTCCCGGGGGACGAGTTCGAGTTCCTCAAGTGCAGGTTTCGCATTGAGGCTGCCGGCACCATCACGGTGCGTGCGGCGGCCCACTTTTACCTGGACATCTACAACCTGCTGGGCGAGCCGCGGCTGAGGAACACCCCTGGGCCCGTGGGCGACCTGTTCACGACGACAGCAAGGCGCTCGGCCCCACCGACGGCACCCTTTTCAGAACAGTGGTGGGGAAACTTCTTTATATAGCCGCCGAGCGCCCGGACGTTCAGGTGGTTATCCAGTTCCTGGCCTCAAGGCGGCGGCGCCAACCGAGGGGGCACTCCGCGTGCTCAAGCACCTGGCCGGCTTTATGAAGGCGACTGAGGGCCACGGTGTGAACCTCAAGGCGGCCAAGGGGGCATCGATCATGAACTTTGCTGCCCACGACACCTACGACCAGCACGTGGTGGAAGCAGTTAGCGACTCCAACTTTGCCACCGACCGCGCCACCCGCAAGAGTCTTTCGAGCGGCCACGTGTATATCGACCGCTGCCTGATGTTCTCCTTCGTGCGCAGCCAAACGGTGGTGACGCTCAGCTCTGGTGAGGCTGAGCTGGTGGCGCTGACCCAGACAGTGGGGGAGAGCATCCTCATCCACAAGGCGTGGGAGTTCTTAACTCGCGCCACTGCCGACCACGTTGCCAGGAGCGACTCTTCGGTGGCCCGGGCAATAGCGAGCAGACTCGGCGTGGGCCGAGTGAAGCACCTCTTGTGGATACAGCAGTGGGTCCACAGGAAGGAGCTGCGTGTGGCAGCCATCGGCACTGCCCTCAACCCGACAGACATGGGCACGAAAATCCTGTCAGCCAACAGACTGCGCGTGTTGTGCGCTGTGGCTGGCATGGTGGACGATGGTGGCAACAAGGTCGGGAAGGAGGAGCTGCAGGCCGAGCTCTACAAGACGAAGCGGGTGAATGCCAAGACCCTCCACCTGGTGCAGCTGCTGATGGCCAGCACCCTTCAGGGCTGCGGCCAAGAAGGCTATGAGGATGCGAGTGTCTACCTGCTCTTCTGCCTGGACCTGCTCGGCATTTTCTACGAGGAGTACCCCACGGGTTTCATTTGCATCTTTGCGGCCCTCGTGCTCCTGGCGGTGGCGTTTCTCGGCTACCTCAATGGCGTGCATTGGAGGATGACCCTCCAAATCGGGCGCGGGCCCACTTCAGGGCTTGAGCCAGGTTGCGGTGAGACTGGGCCGGCGCAGACCAACGAGCCCAAGAACAACAAGGACAACGAAAACACCGAGGACGCCGAGGACACCGAGAGCAGCCAGAGCAACCAAGGACGCAGGAACACCGAGAGCAGCGATAACAACCAAGGACGCAGGGACACCGAGAGCAGCGATAACAACCAAGGACGCAGGGGCACCGAGCTAGGTGAAACTGGCCGGGGACAACAAGCCGAAGCTCCACTTGACCCCGAGGTGGTGAACCGCATGAATGCGTGGATGGAGGAGAATGTGCTGCCTCTTTTGGGAGTGGCACCAGAAGCTGAGGCACGGCCTTCGGGAGCCACGTCCTCTCACCAACCTCCACCGGTTCCACCTGGGTACCTTCGGACGACGCGTGGCGTACTGGACCCCACCGGCCTCAACCTCGGCAGGATTGTGAGGTATGCGCCAAACTGGGGGTATGGATACCATGTGGCTACTTGCTCGTCGTTTCGGAGGGCGGCCCGGAGCTTCAGAGACAGCACTGTACAGCAGGCCCTTGAGAGGGGACTTTTCCCGTGTGAACAGTGTTGCCGTGGGGACCACGACGTCCTTTCAGTCCGAAACCGCGGCTACTTTGAACAGAAGCCTAGGCGTCGACACAGGTGAGCCAGCTCATGGATCACGATCCAAGAGCTGAGGGGGCATGTTAGTGTAAATTTGCCCCAGAGCTCCTGTTGATTATTGTGCATTCGCATGTGCAGCCTGACACGAGAGCGGAAGGCACGTGCAGTGCATGGCCCCTGCAAGGATGACCCGCACAAATTGTGCCACGACCGAAGCCCTTTGCGAGTCAAGAAAGGAGCGAATTTTCAGTTTTCCCATTCTGGCTGCTGTAGTTATTCTCCGTGGTTGTTTTTGTGGTCTCTGATTGTTTTGTATACGGTCCCAGGTTTTTATTTTTGCGGATTGTCTGGACTGTAGTTGTTCTGCAGTTTGCCAGATTTTTCGATTTCTACTCAGGTTGTTTCTCAAAAGTTTTCCACAAACTTTCTGTTTCCACAGTCTGCAGAGTTTCTCTTTTTGTAGCATGCATGTGGCATCCTGCGCGTTCATCTCTTTGCAGTGTCTTTCATTTCCACACGGATTGTGTTTCCTGGCTTTCTTTCTAGTCATTCTCTGGCTGCTGTTTCTGACAGGATTTGGATTCCGTAGGCCGTAGACATCCTCACTTCTGGGTCCGGAATCGTCATGTGTGCTGCAAGGACCCTGTTGCAGTTCTTATTTCAGACGGTTCCTGTTAACGCTTTTCTTCTTGCAGATTCTGATTTTCCAAACTTTCACACGGTTCCTGAACTGTTTCCTTGCAGTTTCTCATGGTTTTCCATTTTCCGGTCTGCTTCCTTCTATCGGTCTTCCTTGGTTCCTTTGGATGTCCAGGTTTCCAATTGCGGGTTTCTGTTGCAAGATCCAGTTCCATGATTTTCCACACAGGCTTGCAACAGGTTTTCTGTACTTTGCTTTTCTTGCAGTTTCCTTCCAAGATTTGGGGAAGACTTGGCAAGTTTGCTGTTTAAATTTTCTGTGCTGTCCACGGGCCCGCTTCTGGGTCTGGAAATTGTCCGGAGGGGCCTCCAGAGTATCGCGGGCCTCCATGAAAAGGTAAGAGCCTTTGGGGTTTGCTATGGCTGCTGCAGGAACCAGTATGGTGGGGAAGCGTTTTTCCCAAATCATTTGCGGAAGAGGTTGGGATCGTTTACGATGCGATCCAAGTGGGAGTGGGGTTTGGGATGTGGACGGGTAAAGGGCAGCAACCCACAGATGGATATGAGGCGGGCATGATGTGGGACGGTCGGAGAGGTGCGTGCAGGATACAGACAAGACGCCATGGGAGACCCACGCACGCGCAGTTCGCCTGAGCATGTACACGGGTGATGCGACCAACATTATCTATAGGGTGCACAGATCACATGAATGCGCTCCATGGCACCGGACGGTTGCAATTAGTGCTTTGGTGGTGCACGTGGATGGACGCTCGCCCGAGTGGTGGGCTTCCAAGCTGCGATTTGCAGGCGCAACCCACCAGGCACTGCCAGCCGGTATGTAGGCTTCAACTGAGTGAGAAGGTGCAGCAACAAGTGGCTCCATTGCATGACCGATGTTGCACGCTGCATCACCAAGCGCTGATGTGTTTGAATGGGTGACAGTCTGTCTTGCGCCCACGATGGTGCAGAATTGCGCAGCCTTGGCGTCGCATTCCCGTTGTGTGATGTATGCGAGCGCATGATTCATAGTGTTCCAACAGTTCGCCATTGGCATGTGAGATTGTGCAAACAGTTGCCGCGCAGCTCCTTTTCTTGGCTGGAGTAGCTTTGAATATCTTCGCTGTAACGAAGCAAAGCTGGCCACCCGGTCGGCCAGGCCAGTCGGCCATGTCTTCCCTTTTCAAATCGACCAGCTGGCTTGCCTTGTCATTCTACTTATTTTTTGTCGTCCCTTGGCAAGAAACCGAGCCATGTTGGAGTTGTGTTTTGTAGTTTCCAGATCCCCTGACTAATGAAAGCTCAGAATCCAAAACTCACAGGTCGGTTCGTCCTACAAGTTGTCAACGATCCCTGTCAACCCGACTGGCAACGAGTCGGAGGCAGACAAGAATGTCAGTGAACTTCTTGCCAAGGAACTGGTGGGTGAGATGAAGGACTGCCCTTAAGCCATCGTGTCTAGACGAAACTTCAATTGGGACCCTGTCGGCTGCAACCCTGCGCAAGCCTCCCTCCGACTTTCATTCTTCATCTTGAGGACTTTGAAAGCTTGCCCCATCCGAAGGAGAAGGGCGAGCAAGGCGAGAGCACGGGTGAGCTGGGCAAGAGCCTGGAGTTCTTGATGCTCAAGGTCGCCCAGCTTGAGACCCTGGCGGAGCTGCAGCAGACCGAGCTCGGGATGCAGCATGAGCTCATTGAGAAGCTGCAGAAGAAGATTGATCCCGAGGAAGCGGAGGTCTCCTTGGCGCAACAGCAAAAGAGCTCCGAGGAGAGCGTGCAGGAAGCCCATGACGTCTTGAAACGGGTGATCCAGAAGCACGCCCACCAGCGGCAGCACCGGGAGTACCATCCCGAAGCTCAGAAGCAGACGCAACCGAAGCCTGCAGTGCGCGAGGAAGAGGAGGCCGAGGAGGGCGACGCCGGCCCGAGAGCCCTGCTGCAAAAGCGCCACAAGCGCCGCACCGAGTGGGGTCCCGTCGGAAAAGCGGTCAAGAGCGGCTGGGACAATACAGGGGGCAGAGCTGTCAACGAACTCGACAAGCAAATCGGCAATGCAGTCGAGAGGCGAGACTTCCAAGTGTGGGGCTTGGGCTTAGGTCATCCCCAGACAAGCCCACAACAGTGCTTGAACACGTTGATTCCATTGATTGTGCGTGCAGTTGATGATTGCCACTGTACCTTTCGAAAGCCCTGATTTCCCTGTAGGTTGGACGGCACCGGACTCACTGGGGGCGCCTTGACCAAGGCCTACACCGCCGCCAAAGACGCAGGGAACGCCGCCCAGTTCGTGGCGAACACCGCCATCAGCACAGTGGAGATGGCCGTGGCGATCCTGACGGGAGGCGGCATGAGGGCTTATCATTGTTTCCAGGGCACCCTACACCCAAACCCTAAACCCCAAACTCAAGTGTTGAGGTTTCATGATGCCTGGGGTTGCAAGCGCGACGTGGGGCCCCCGCCAGCCCCCCAAATCCTCGCGAGGCTTCAGTGACTGGAGCGCAAGTTGCACCAATAATCTTCCAAGCGTTGGCATGAATGGCGGCGAGCTTTATGTCAACTTTGGGCACAACTCCTGCTCCATCTCCCTCATGGGTCAAAGGGTCACGCTTTTCGACTGGAACTGGGGAAGGAAAGCAGTAAACCTCAACAAAATCGTCGAGCAGATCCCTCCTCTGAGCTACCTGACCCGCATGTCCGACATCCTCACCGAGGCAGCGGGTGTGCACCGGGAGTTCGGGGTTGGGGTTTCATGTGAGGGTTGGGGTCGTCCCACATCTGAGGTCATCGAGGTCTTTGCCAACGTAGCCGGGACGGTTGTGCAGAAGGCGATGGAGAAAAGCACCTCCCTGGTGCAAACGGCTGCTACGTCCAAGTTTCCTGCTGCTGGAGAGCCGCGCGTGCTGCACCACAAAGGCAGCAACCTTCTCATCGAGTCGCACACTCAGCACGTACCAGCACGTCGCAGTAGCGGGCCTCCTCAAGAGATGGCTGCTGTGCAAACAGATGCCCGATAGTCACAGGCTGGTGACCCCCCCGATGGTGCCATCAGTTTCGGCATGGGCAAGAGCGATGACGTCCACGCCACAAAGCTGATCACCCAGTTCAATGGCAGGGAGACCGACACCAGCTCTTGCTTGGCTTTTGCCCCGAAGAACCGGAGGGGCGGCGGAGTGAGCAAAGAAGACTGGCAGGTTGGCAACCAGAACGATTTCCTCCAGCTTGAGCCTTGGGCCGTCCCCTGTGACAACACTTGGATGAAGGACAACTGGAACAGATGGCAGGGCTACACGTTCTACACTCAGCCGCAGGCCATCGAGAAGTGCGTCACCGTGACCTTCAGTCTGGGAATGCAGCCTGTCGTGGCCTTCGTCGGCGGCTTACAATTCGAGATCTTGCCGAAGCCTCTCTTCGAGCTGGGCACGACGGTCTGCTGGCCGAACCAACAACCTGGAGGTGTTGACTTGAGCGTGCTGCGATCCGAGGTGAAGTCTGCAGGCATCCTGCTCTTCAGCCGCACCTTGCGCCTGACCAAGCGTTTCGGTGGAGGCACGGACTTCGTTTCTTCCAACTACAAAGGTGGCTATAAGACCTGGCGGACGAATGCAGGCATCGCCAGCGGGGAGACGGGGGTGCCGAAGGACCTACTCCGGCGCACCTCCTTCCTGGAGACCAACCAGAGCTACGAAGAAGAGTCCGAGGAGGAGGAGTTTGCCGAAGAGGCCGAAGAAGATGCCGAGATGCAGTGGAGGACGGACTCGGAGGATCTGTACCTGGCGTCCGTAGACTATGGCGTGAACCTGAACACCTCTGTCAACAAGACCTTCGAGGCTTTCGGCGAGGAGGCTGCCATGCACATGGGCACCGAGAGGGTGGGAAAGGATGTCTTCAAGCTTTTCAGCTTCAAGAATCCGGGATTGGTGAACTTCAAGATCGAAGGTCTCATGAACGGCAACATCTTGGAGATGGGCATGGAGATGGGATTCGGCCCGTACAGCAGTCCTTCAAGGAGGATTCCATTGGTGAACATCGCCCACCAGTTCTCCCTGATTCTCGCGGGCATGCCTTTCGTGTCGAGCCGAAGCAAGCTGAAGGCCATCGCCTCCCTCAACGACTTCTCCAGCAAGGACATGGGCAAGACTCGTGGCCTGCCCATGAAGCCAGGTTCCATCATTGCATTGTACAGCCCCCACTGCCGGCGCTTCATGCATATGAACGGCGGCGGACTGGGTGTCACGAACGAAATGAACGGCCACGGCGTCCCGGATCACTGGACCTGGGAACGCTTCACGGTCGTGGACGCCGGGAACGGGGAGATCGCACTGCACAGTGCCACTCACAACCGCTTCGTGGGCCCTGGCGGCGTGAGCCCACATCGGAACGTTGGTGACTTGCCCCACGACTGGTCTTCAGAACGCTTCACGGTGGTGGAGGTCGGAAACGGCGAGACGGCCTTTTACAACAGGCACCATAACAAGTTCCTGAACATGGCGGCGTCGGGTGTGGGAGCCAGCGGGCATCCATCTCATCCTCCAAAGCTACCGGCCGGCTGGACCTGGGAGCGCTTCCGTGTCGTGCCAGCAGAGCGGATCCTGGTTCCCGGCACCACAATCGCCCTGCACAGCCAGATCCACAACCGCTTCGCGAAGATGTCGGGGGGGAATATGGAGCGAAGTCCTGAAAAAAGTGCGGTGGAGATGCCTGATGGGTGGGCCTCTGAACGCTTCACCGTGGTGGATGCGGGACATGGCCAGATTGCCTTGCACAACGCCGTCCACAATCGCTTCGTTGGGGTGGGAACAGCCAGCCCTCACAGGGTCGTGGATGCTCTTCCTGCAGGCTGGGCCTCCGAGAAGTGGGACGTGTGGCCGGCTGGGAACGGCCAAATCGTCCTTCACAACAGACACCACAACCGGATGCTTCGAATGTCAGATCACACCATGGATGCCAGTGGCCACATGGATCCACATCACTTGCCAGATGGATGGACTTGGGAACGTTTCCAGGTGGTGCGGTTGAAGCCGTATCTTCAGCCGGGGACCACGGTGGCCCTTCGTTGTCCACATCACGGCCGCTACGTTCTGATGTATCCTGGTGCTCCACAGGCCCTTCTGTTGCAGAAGGAGAACCACACTCAGAGCCACACTCAGAACGGCACATTCCCTTTCGGAGGCTTCGGAGGATTCGGACTAACGTTTGGCGGAGGTATATCTTCTTTCGATCCATTCGGAGCAATAAAGAAGGCTGCAGAGGAGCTAGCTCGGAGGCAACAGGAAGAGGCCGAGGAACGTGCCCGTCAGGCCGCGCTCAGAGGCACCATAGGCCGTAGCGCACCCCACGGCATCGACAATTTCCCAGATTCCTGGACCTACGAGCGCTTCACGGTTATTGATGCCGGCAACGGGCAGGTGGCCTTCCATAACAGCCTCCACAACAGATACCTGAAGATGGACCAGCACCGAATGCTAGTCAGCTCCCCCATGCCTCCTGATGCTTACCCCTCCGGATGGACTTATGAGCGCTTCTCGGTGATTCCTGCTGGTGACGGTAATTTCGTGTTCCACAACTCTGCGCACAACCGCATGCTCAGGATGACGAATGACAAGGTGGACGCCAGCAGCCACATGAACCCGCAGGACCTGCCGGGTGGTTGGTTATGGGAGCGTTTCCAGATTGTGCCCGTAAGGCCCTACTTGCAGCCCGGCACCGTGGTGGCCCTGCACTGTGGCCATCACAACCGCTACGTCACGATGAATGGGGCTGAGCTCCAGCGAAGCGCGGAGAGGAACCTCAACGACTTGCCTTCCAACTGGGTCTGGGAGCGCTTCACCGTGGTGGACGCCGGAAATGGTCAGGTCGCCTTCCATAACGCTGCCCACAACCGCTTCATTGAAATGAGGGGTGCAACGATGGGAAGCAGTGCTCCCCACG